GCACCCCAATGTTCACAGTGGCACTATTTACAATAGCCAAGACATGGAAGCAGCCTAACACTTAGGCAGCCTAACACTCAGGCTGCTTCCATGTCTTGGCTATTGTGAATAGTATGTGTGTGTGTGTGTGTGTATACACACACACACACACAATGGAATATTACTCCGCCATAAAAGAATGAAATATTGCCATCTGAAGCAACATGAATGGATCCGAAGTAAGTTAGAGAAAGATAAATATTATATGATATCACTTATATGTGGAAACTAAAAAATAAAACATATGAACTTATTTACAAAACAGAAACAGATCCACAGACATAGAAAATAAACTTATGGTTATCAAAGGAGAAGTGGGGAGGGATAAATTAGGAGTATGGGATTAACAGATGCACACTAAAATATATAAAATAAACAACAGGGATTTACTGTATAGCACAGGGAACTATATTCAGTATCATATCCTCTCCCCTTTCTTTCTTCTTTCTCTTTCTTTTTCTCTCTCTCCCTCTCTGTTTTTCTTAACAGGTAAGGAAACTAAGGCTCAGAGAGGTCAAATACAATAACTTTTCCAAGATTATACTGCTAGTAAATGACAGAGCTGGAATCCAACCAAGCTGGAGTCAACTTTACACATGCCATATACACAAGGCCAAGAGGTTTGGACTTTCTCTGAAGGTGATGCAATGCCACTGAAAACTCTTGAGCAAGAAAGGTACATGGTGGTTAATAAACTTTCCTCCAGTAGCAGTGTGCAGAGCACATGGGAGGGGGAGAAAGGAGGGGGCCCCTACAGTAGTCACAAAACTTCAGGCCAGAATTGAAAAGGGGCTGGGCTGGGGTAGTGTCAAAAAGAAAAAAACAGTAAATGTAAAAACCAAATAGACAGAAGTGAGAGACAAGTTGAAGAACATTTAAAAAATGCTTTTTTCTTTGTTCAGTGTTGAAATAAAAATTCATGTGTGTTGCAAAAAGAAAAAAATCAAACAAAAAGTTCACACAGGGCAGACAGAAGTGTTTAAAGTTCTCTTCTCTTCCTGTCTCCTGAGATAAGCTCCATTAAGAGTTTGTGGGGCCTTCACTGGTGGTCCAGTGGCTAAGACTCCATACTCCTGGGTTCGATCCCTGGTCAGGGAACTAGATTCCCACATGCCACAACTAAGAGTTCACGTGTCGCAACTAAAGATCCCGCGTGCCGCAACTAAGATCTGATGCAGCCAAATAAATAAATATTAAAAAAAAAAGTTTGTGGTAAATCCTTCCTGAACTTTGTCTAAAACTATATAATACATTTACATATACCCATTTTTAAGTGTTTTTAAACTGTGTTCTCACCAAACTTTTGTTTTGTCTCTTGCTTTTTCTCACATAATAGTATGGCAAGGCCAGCTTTCCATGTCCAGAAATTAAATGATCCTCATCACTTTTAACAGCTTTGCCACTTACTAGCTGTGTGACTTTGCACACATGGTTTAACCTCTGAGACTTGGTATGCTTAATCTGTAGATGGGGATAAACATGTAACTGTCACATAGGGCTATTGTGAGGATTAAATGAGTTAACACACATAAAGCATCTTGTATAGTGTCTGACACATACTAAGTGCTCTCCCTGTTAATAGCACCATGTTTAGCTGTACCATAACTTACTCAACCAGTTCTGTACCCATGGTCACTTAGTGTGCTATGTTGTTTACAAAGATGGCCACAATGATCCCCCCACCCCCACACGACTCTTTGCAATATGACTTTGATGTTTTTTCCATCAAGAGATGGAGTCTATTACTAGTCTCCTTGAATCTGAGCTGGCCATCTGACAGGATTTGATCAATAAAATGCAGTGAAAGTGATGCTACAGCTCTTCCGAGCCTAGGCCTCAAGAGGCCTTGCTGCCTTCGTTCTTTTCCTTTCAGACGCCATCATGAGGAAGCCTGAGCTAGCTTGCTGAAGAAGCCACATGGAGAAGAACCTAGGCACTCAAGCCAGCAGGCCCAGCCACCTGCCAGACCTGTGAATGAGGCCATATAGGACCAGTGAGCTTGCCGACTTGCTAACTGACTGCAAATACAGAAGTAAGCCTGGGCAAGACCATGTACAGCAGAAAAGAGCTGTCTCAGCTGAGACATGTCCAAGTTGCCAATCCACACAAACATAACCAAAAATTTATTGTCGTTTTAAACCGCTCTGTTTTGGGGTGATTTGTTGAGCAATAACAGAAAGCTGATATGCTGAGGCTCTTCTTACGCAGTGCCTATGGCCCTGGTTGGAATGCAAGCTCCATCTTTTGTATGTGACCTGGGGCATGTCCTGTAATCTGACTGAACCTCAGTTTCCTGGTCTGTACAGTGGGATACTTCTAGTTCCTACCTCATCCGGCTGACGTGAGGATTAAATGAGATGAACATTCAATGTGTGGCACAGGACAAGTACTGTGAACATCTTAACTGTGGTTGTGGCTGTTGTTATTGTTGTTTGAAGGAAGTCTAGCCTGAGAGTTGTGCTATGGGGGTCAGGAAGTTAGTATTAAAGATAACTGAGCTGGTCTTTGGAGGCTCCATAACTAATGAACACTGGAGACTGATAGCTTTTTGGAACCAGAGACCTATACCAGGCTAGCCTGAGAAATGGCAGGGGCTGGGTCTCAACTGTGTCCTACAAAGTGCAAAGGGTTGTATGTCTGTGCCTGGGTGAGCCCTCTGAATGATGTCAGGGATGGAGGATGGAATTGGGTAGAAGAATGAAGAACTGAGGCTGTAGGAGGGGCCAAGATCATAGGAAAGAACATTCACTCTTTTCAGATGAAATTCCAGACCCCTAATCATGGCCTGAATGCCTTGGCCACCTCTCCCACCATATTTCCTACCCTTTTTCCCTTCACTCACAGTGCTTCAGCCCCCCATGGCCTCCTTCCTCAAACTTATCAAGCTCTTTCCTGCCTCAGGACCTTTGTTCTTACTGTTTTTTCTCAGAGGGACCTTCAGAACCACTCAAGCTAAAGTTCTCCCCTCTTTCATTCTTTTTCACAGCTACTTATATTTTTCCTTCACAGTACTTATTCATTTTTCTATCTGTGCATTATGTTTATCACTTTAGGTGAATTTCATGAGAAACTGTTATCTGTCTTGCTCATGCCACATCCCCAGCGTCTAGCACACTGTCTGGCTCATGGCAAGTGATCAACAGCTGTGAATTGAATAAATGTGACTAAAGACAGGGGAAAAGGAGCCATAAGAGCTGAAAAGACATTATCCAAAAGCTAAGTGAAGGCCTCATTTCCTGGAAGACGGCCTCACAGAAACCTTGGAATCATCTTGTCTAACCTTCTCAGTCCACAAGTGGGGAAACCAAGACCCATAATGGAGAAATAACCAGCCTGTGGGCACCCAGAGAGCCATTTCTGTGGACTCTCAGCCCATTGGGGTCAAATGCCACAGACATGCCTGACAGATGAGGCTCAGAAAAGGTCATGGCCACCTCCCTGAGACCATCACTATATGTCTGCAGCTGCCACCACCTCATCCCACAGGGGAGGAGATTGTCTCTTTGGGAGCAGAGGTGCCAGTCAGCTGATGAACTGTGAAAGGAGGGCTAGAGAGGGTGGGGAGGCCCATCCTGGGTAGCTGCTATTCTGAGGCAGCTCAGGGATAAAAGCAGGTACCAAAATAACCCAACCTTCTAACACTTGTTCCAGACCTCACACCTCTGCCCTACCAGAGGTGAGGCTAACACTTTAATTCCTCTCAGTAACACACACACAAGCTTTTAGCAGGGCCTGCAGGGAACAGGGTGATCGTCAGACTCAGCCCTGTCCACTGGGGGCTCATAGTCTGATGCAACAGGCAGGCTAGGGACCAGTCAGGTTGCTGAGGGATGGTGTCTAGGTCTGAGGGAACTAAAGGTAGGGAAGATCCCGAGAGGAAAGGATTAGCCCGATGGACATACAGAAGTTAGCCAGTCCAGGAGGTGACAGTAACAGATGTAACTGCCAGTGCAATGAGAGGGAGGCTGACAAGTTCCAAGAATAGTCTGCAGTTTTAGTGGGTGGGAGCATCATGAAACTGAAATGAGAGGGGCAGAAAACGCGGCTTGGGGGCGAAGGAAGTATCCAAATTATGCAGGAACTTGGATGTCAAGAGAAGAGCTTGGGCTATCTTTGGTGCACAAAGGAAAGACTTGGGAGGTTTTAACCAAGAGGACGTCATGATCAGTTTTGCACGACAGAAACTTCCCTATAGCTGCCCTGGAGCCGTTGCCCAGGCAAGCGGGGTGGAGGGAGGCAGATCGAAGGGAGAAAACAGTTTATTCTAGATGGGCAGCTCTGCAAAGGGCTCCTGTAAGAGGCATGAATTGGGTCTCAGTCTCTAGAGGGCTAGTACCGTCACTTCCTCGACTGCTGCGCCACACCACTCCCGGGGTCCAACTTTCGTTCACTTGTTCCGGAACTCGAAGTTTGAGCAGAAAAAAACGTGCTGCTGGAACCCCAACCCTAGACGAGGGGCCTGAGCAGCAGACTTCAACTCCCAAAACGCTTCGCTCTCCAGCTCTGAAGGTCGCGCATGCTTCTTTCCAAATAAGGCGGGCCGGCTTGCCGACTGGTAGAACTCGCCAGCTGGGTGAAGTGCGGGAAACCTAGGGACCGCCATCTTACCTTGGGTCAAACCAATTATACACTTAGTGGGAGGTTCGTGTTCTCTCTCTCGTAAGTTCGTACAGGTACTGAAATAAAATGCGCTTAATTACTGCAAGTCTCCTTATTACGCTTTACGTTGAGAACTTGTTCCATTTTGCGCCCCAGTCCGGAACTGAACTCCTAGGGATACAATGACACATCCCAGCATGGCACCGCACTCTGCGAGATTCCGCTGGGGGAGGAGTCGGAAGCGGTCCCACCCCGCCTCCCGGTCGGAGGGGGGTTTCCGCTTCCGGCAGCGGCGGCTGCAGCCTCGCTCTGGTCCCTGCGGCTGGCGGCCGAGCCGTGTGTCTCCTGCTCCGCCGCCGCCATATTGTCTGTGTGAAGAGTGGGGAGAGCGGCTGCCGCCGCTGCAGCTTCCACCACAGGTACCGTGGGAGCCATCAGGCGAGGTCGTTGGGGGTGCGGGTGGGCCCAGGATGGGGCAGCGGGGCGCGGCCGCCTCTAACGCTTCCAGCAGACTCCCGAGCGGCCCTTCGCCTTCCCCTGCCCCCCCCACCACACACACACTAGCCGAGGCTCTTGCAGCCCATCGGGGAGGCCCTGGGCTAACCCCCAGGGCGGGGAGTGAGGCTTGGTGGCAGAGGCTGATAGGGTGGGAACTGGCTCTCGAGAGTCCAGCTTGTTGCGGGGGAGAGGGCTGGGCTGGGGCGGGGACTAGGGGGCAAGTTGGTGGAGGAGGTCGGCAGAGGGGGAAGCGAGCTGGAGGGGTGGGGCCGCCGGGGGGGGATGCTGGGGGAGGGTGCCTAGGGGAGTGGTGCCCGCAGTGTAGGCTGGGGTGGACCCTCCCGCGGAGCAGAGCAGCTGTAGTGGGGGCCTTCTAAGGCCCCTCTAGGCGAAATTGGGCTTCCCACCTGCACCCTGGGGTGCAAGGTGAAGGGGACCCGGGGCGAGGTCGCTGAGGATAAAGGGGAAGGGACCATGAAGTGGGGCAGAACGGGTGGAGTTGGAGTTAAGGGTTAGTTGGGAGCCTGGACGGAAGAGGAGAGGTATGTAGAATGAAAGGTTGGCTAAGAGTGTGCATGTTAGTTTGTGACCTTTGAAGAGTAGGACTTTTGTTTTTGTTTTTCGGTTGTTGTTTATATTTTTGCAGCGTTGGAACATTTCTAACCTTGGCAGGTGATGGGTGGAGCTTATGTAGTTTGTTTTTGGGAAGGAAGGGTCAGGAGAAGTTGCTTCTTGGCTGTTGTTATTGTGGGAAGGAAAGAGTTCTGGAAAGGAGGTAGCAAATTAATTGAGGAAGATCTGATTACCTTTCAGCTGCTAAATTCTATTGAGAAGTGGGTGTGAGGAGAGGAAATGAAAAGAAAGCTAGAAAGGGAGGATTTTTCTATGAATTGGAAGACCCCATTCCATCTAAGAAGTGGCAGTAAATATCTGGATTATCAAATATAAGTGCCATGGTTATTTAGCTGTGTGACCTAACTTCTGTAAACCTGTTTTCCTATCTGTAAAATGGGGGTGATAATATTTCCTAGATGGTAAGTTTATGGTGAGGAGTAAATAAGATAATTTGTGTCAAGTGCTTACCACAGTGCCTGGTAGGTAGTAAGTGCTCCATAGACCTTACCTGTCACTTTTATTAAAGGGACTAGCTGGTATATATGGGGTTCCTTCAGTCTAGGTAAAGTTTATGGTCAATAATCTGACAATAGGCAAGGCTTCAGAAAATTATATTTGTAGTTGTTGAGGTGTTTTTCTTTTGTTGTTAAGTCAGTTGGCTTAACTGGCTTGGTGGACCTTGAGCTGAAAGACCAGGACCAATACTAGTTCTGCCTTGTGTCGTTTTTAAAAGTTCACCAGCAGTTTTACCTGGGTAGTTGTATCCTTCTGTGACTTTGAAATACTTGCCTTTCATTTGCTATTGGGGGAGGGTGTATGACTTGAAGAAAGAATGAAAATATTTGAAGTTTGCTTAGATTGGTTTATCAGCTGATTACAAAATTAGGTCACCCTGGGGTAACTTTTGTTTAAATGCAAAAACCAAACATGCCTAGTTATATCCTGTTATATGGAATACAGTAGAGAAGAGGAGCACACATTTAAGGGGGAGCAATAGGTTATTTTCTACCTAATGGTTTAATTGCCTAGCTGTTTGGGGATGAAACAAGTAGCTTCTTTTTTACAGTGTATTTTTGGTTCTGTTGCTTAGCCACACTCTTCCAGGGTGAGAGTACTTGATTTTACCATTGTCTCTGTCTCTGAACATATAGCTTTACTTCACATACTCTTTTGGAGAAAGGAGAAGTTTTCTTTGGTAACTAAGTTTAAAACTTGACATAGGATTTGGGTTTGTAGTAGGCAGAATGACCACCACCACCACCCCCAAGATGTCCAAACTCTAATTCCCAGAATCTGTAAATATGTTACTTGGTAAAAGGGACTTTGCAGATGTAGTTAAATATCTTAAAATAGGAAGATCATCCTGGATTTAGTGGGTAGGCCCAATCTAATCACATGAGCCATTAAAAGCAGAGAACTTTCTCCAGCTGGGAGTCGAGAGAGATGGGGCAGAAGGGGAAATCAGAATCGAATCATGAGAGGGACTCCATTTGCTGTTGCTAGAGGGGGCCACATGGAAAGCATGAGAAGGAATGCGGGGAGCCTCTAGTAGCAAAGACCAGCCCCGGCTGACAGCCAGCAAGGAAATGGAGACCTCAGTCCTACAACCACGAGGAACTGAATTTGGCCAACAACCTGAATGAGCTTGAAAGTGGATTCTTCCCCAGTTTCCAGCAAGGATAACACCTTGATTTTGGCCTTGTGAGACCCTAAGCAGAAGACCTAGCCAAGCCCACCCAACTTCTGAACTACAGAAACTGTGAGACAATAAATTTCTATTGTTTTAAAGCCACTACGTTTGTGGTTTTGTTATGGCAGCAGTAGAACACTAGTGTAGATTTTGGTACCAAGAGTGGGGTACTGTTACCTAAAAATGTGAAAGCGGCAGTAGAAGAGGCCAGCAAATTTTTGAGGAGCGTAATAGAAAAGACCTAGAACAGATCATTAGTAGAAGTAGTGAGGGCTGAGGCGGAAGTGAGGTGTGCATTGGAAACTGGAGGAAAGAGGATCTTTGTTACATAGTGGCAAATAAGCTTAGAATTGTGACCTGTGGTCAGGTGGAAAAGAATACTTATAAGTGATGAACTTGGATATTTAGCTGAGATTTCCAAGCAAAGTATTGAAGGTACAGCCTGGTTTATTTGTGGGGTGTGAGTCTCAGTGAGCTCATGTGAAGCCCACTAGGTTCTTGAGCGTTTTATACTAGCAAAAACAGTGCCAGCTTGGATTGAAAAACACAAAGTAGTAAATTAAGGAGAGCTCTCAACCCCCCCCCCAACCCCCACCCCCAGTTTTACTGGTAGGAAGCAGGCTGGTAAAAAAACTACTTAGATGTGAATGTGCTCCTTTTCATTAAAAAAGAAGAATGACTCAGAGGGCGGAACCAAGAGCCCAAAGAGGTGGAGTCGAAGGCTGCAGAAGAGTTTACCCTGGCTTTGAAATGGAATGGAGTTTGCCCACATTTTGAAACTGCTTTGGACCGATGGATCTGCTTTTTCTTATATTTTCCCTACTTTCTTTTATATTTTCCCTGTTTGAACTAGAATGTCTATAAGTTGCCTTATGCCGGTCTCACCGTCGTATGTTGGGAACAGATAACTTTTTTTTTTTTCCCTAGGAATTGTGCTCCAGGGGTTGCACTTAATATATTACAACCAGAGCTTCATCCACATTTGATTTAGATGGTGAGATTTGGGAGTTTTGAATTGATGAGCTTTAGATGAGATTTTTGGACTTTGAGTTGGACTTTAATGGAATGAGACCTTAGGATAGAATGGATATATTTGCATTTGGGAGAGATATGAGTCTTTGGAGCCCATAGGGTGGACTGTGTTAGGTAGAATGATCCCCCAAAGATATATGTGCCCTAACCTCTGGAATCTGAATTTGTTACTGTTTTGTGGCAAAAGGGACTTTGCAGATGTAACTGTGGTTTAAGGATCCTAAGATAGGAATATTATCCTGGATTTTCTGGGTAGGTCCAGTCTATGCACATGAAAGCAGAGAACTTTATCCAGCTGGAGTTAGATTTGAAGCAGGAGAGGGTCTCACCCTGCCATTACTGGAGGGGACCACGTGGAAAGCACAAGAAGGAGTGCTGGCAGCCCCAGCTGACAGCCGGCAAGGAAATGGGGACCTCAGCTCTACATCCGCAAGGAACCACATTCAGCCAACAATCTGAATGAGCTTGAAAGCAGATTCCCCACCCCAGAATTTCCACAAAGGAACACAGCCCTATGGACACCTTGATTTTTGGCCTTGCAGGACCATAAGTAGAGGATCCAGCCAAGTCTACCTCACTTCTATCCTACAGAAACTGTAAGATAATAAATTGTGTTGTTTTATGTTTGCGGTAGTTTGTTACAGCAACAATAGAAAACCAATTGGAAAATATAAAAATTTTAAGAAAAAGAAAACTAATTAGAGGGGTTTTGCTGATTTTATTTAAGAATCTTTGGGGGATTATTTTCTAGAGAACAAAGGCAGCAAAGATTATTCTGTAGTGATTTGGTTCTGGAAGACTTCACAGAATAATGGTGTTGAGTGGAACCTAGGCCTCTTCCCTAGATGTTTAAGCATCCTGTTACTGTCATTAGATGCAATTTGTAGGGGCTAAATGACCAGCTCAGTAAAACGTAGATTATAGAGCTCTAGGCCATTCTGGTAGAATTTCTATAAATTGATAATTCTTCCATGCCTATAATAAACGTCTTGGATAATTCCTTCATTCATTTTTATCGGCTGAATAAGGCATTGAGTTTATTTGACAACTCTTTATAGACTTAATTCCTGTTTTTTTAGAAGAGATGGAAATGAGTGATTATTTTTTATGAATGGATAACCACTACTATATACAGTAGTCTGTCTGGTCTTTCATACCTCCCACCCCAACCCAAAGTTGTTGTAAGGTCTTTTCTCCCTGTCATTGTCATTTGAGGTCAATAAGATTTGGGTGTATAACTAAATCACTTTGCTGTACACCTGAAACTATTACAATATTGTAAATCAACTATACTTCAATTTCTAAAAAAGCCAATACAGTTTAAAAAAAAGAATAAAGTTTGGGGATCATAACTGCAGAATAGAGTTCTAGCTTTTAAGAAAGGCTTTTTTGTTGTTTATCTGTATGTTATTGATTAGATTCATAAAATGTGGACTCTCAACTTTAGTGAAGAGAACTTCAGAGGATGGAGGAAATAAGGCAGTTTCTCTTTGAGTTAGTTACCTGAATAGAAGGATGATTACAGAATTAGAGCATTTCAGGGTACGAAGGACTTTTGTGATTATCTGTTTGACTTTTAGGTTTAGAGTAAAAGAAATTGGGCCACATGAAGGTTAAGTGACTAAACCAAGTATCTCAGCCCTACAGCTGGCCTAGAATCCTGGTCCAGGCAATGGGGATTCATGGCTTTTAAACTATATTCCCTGTATACCCCTGCCTTGTCCTTTTTTTAGATTTTACCGTAGCTTATCTCTCTGTGCCTCAGTTTCCTCATGAGGGTCATTGTGAAGATTAGTTGAGATAGTGCACGTAACACATTTAGCAGAGTACCTAACACAGTTAAATGCCCAAAAGATGTTCACTGTTATAACATTTATGGTAATTGTTTTGACAACTGTATGACAGCTTTTACATAAATATTACAGTACAATTTATAACAAGTTCAGAAACTGAGAATGATATGATTTGGCATTGGATTAGGTAAGGACTTAGTGTTTTAAGGTAATGCTTGTGATACTTGGTTTAAAATGAGAAACTGGATTTGATCCTTGGTCTATCACAATTCATTGGGTGACTTGGGCCAAGTTTGTTTCACAAGGGTGTTAGTGTGTTCATATGCCTAAATTTCTTTGAACTCCTAAGATGGATAATTTCAAAAGAGTACTATATCATTTAGTTGTTTCTTATTAGAGAGAAATCTAGGCCAGCTAGCTTTTCAAATGAAGAAATTTCTCTAGGATTATTAAGAAAAGGAACTGCTGTCATTTGTCATTGTAGCAAATATTTACATTGGGTTATAGACAACTGGTAGTTTTTCTTAAATATTTGGTATGACCCAGGGTAGATTGCAGCTGACCAATTTGTTGACTAAACTTTTTTTCCTTTACATCATAGAAATCAAAGACTGAGTCTTTTTTTTTTTTTTTTTTTTGCGGTACACGGGCCTCTCACTGTTGTGGCCTCTCCCGTTGCGGAGCACAGGCTCCTGACGCACAGGCTCAGTGGCCATGGCTCACGGGCCCAGCCACTCCACGGCATGTGGGATCTTCCCGGACCAGGGCACGAACCCATGTCCCCTGCATCGGCAGGCGGACTCTCAACCACTGCGCCACCAGGGAAGCCCAAAGACTGAGTCTTTTTAAAAGTTTAAGGTGAAAGAATTAACAGTATTGTACTAGGAGTGAGATTTCACTGGTTTCTACAAATTCTGTGTCTTTCAGCCTTAGATATAAGAAGTGTACTTAGCAATGGTTACTGTGGTGGGCAAGCTTTTTTTACATTAATGATGATAGTGTTTTCTTGCATAGAAAATATGTGTCATCTGAAGTGAGGGTTTTAGGGTTAAATACCAGGGTACACTTAGAATAATGTTTTATAATTTTATGTGTCACATCTTAAATGCCTTTATATTGGCCACTTTTTTCTTTTCATACTTTCTGGTCTTGTGGATTTTCTGACAGGTTTTTATTAGCTGAAACATTTTAATCTACTTGGGAAAGTGAACACTTGAAATTTTTCTGAAGTTATGACTAATGCACTAATGGGCATTTCTCAATTTAGCTAGCTCATTAATATTATATAATTTTTAAGAAAGCAACCTTGTTAAAAATGTGTAAATTATTTTCCTAAAAATTTAATCATGTCATATCAGAAAGTACAAACTAGCCATTTGGCTTTATTGAATTTATAACCAGTTTTAAACAATGTTACTCTTTCAACAAGCCTTGAGTTCTTGCTACATTTCAGGTAGGTGCTGTGCTGAGGCTAAATTATCCCAGACATTGTAAATTTGTCCAGTGACATTTTGTAATAACGCATCATTCCATAACTTAGTAGCTTTCTGGAGTGTTTTCTTATGAAAACTCCTTTGGCTTTGTATCTTAGGTATAGTTTCTGAAACAGCTGCAGAAATTTGGTGGGCAGTGGATTGAGAATTCCTCATTCTGAATGGAATTCTTTAACAGATTACTGGGAGGACTGGGGGAAGGAGGCAGCAGGATAGTTGGAAAGAGCTCCAGCTTTGGAGTGAGATAGACCAAGTTTGGGTTGAGTAACCAAGGTTATTTACTTACTCTTAAGCCTGGATTTTGTCATCTCTGCAGTTAGGATAACAACTACCTTGGGCACAACTTTTTTTTTTTTTTTTTGCGGTACGCTGGCCCCTCCCTGTTGTGGCCTCTCCTGTTGTGGAACACAGGCTCTGGACACGCAGGCTCAGCAGCCATGGCTCACGGGCCCAGCCGCAGCACGCAGGATCTTCCCGGACCAGGGCACGAACCCGTGTCCCCCTGCATCGGCAGGCGGACTCTCAACCACTGCGCCACCAGGGAAGCCCGGCACAACTTATTTATTAGCCTTCTGTTTCTTCATCTGTAAAATGGGGGTCAGTACTTACCTCAGAATATTCTTGTGAGGATTAATAGCTAAAGTGCCAGCTAATGTTATCTCAGGGTAACTCTGAGGATTAAAGGAGATAATTTATAAAATGCCAGGTGCCTTTCCTTTCCCTGTCAGTGAAGACGGTGTGTTCATTGCCA